TGCGGAGCGTTCTAACGGGAGATCAGAGATCATGAGACGGGGGGAGGTGTCAACAGGATGGACGACTGATTGTGAAACCAGAACAAAAAGTACAAGAGCTGGAGTTGAGTGCATGTGTGAAGCTCGTCATAGACAGTTCGGGGAAGTCAAAAGTGCAATCGTTCAGGGAATGCTGTGGCGCAAACAGCCGCGTGCACACATCTGACTTTAAATGAGCAACTCACGGGCAGACAATGTGGCGAAGCGCATCTCCCCCGCCCTTTCTCGAGGGGGAGGACTTTATTAAAGCAGACTGACCCCCAGGTAGGAGGGCGGTACAGTGTGGGGCTGTACTCCGTAGAGGAGAGAACAAAGCGTTGCCGGTATAGACGGTCTCACAGGCGTAACACCCAAGATCCCCGCAATCCCAGAGGGAAAACAACGAGGGGGGGAGGGCTCGCCATGACAGGTCAACAGTGAAACCACCGGTATACGCTCGGGATGCGAGCCAACTGCGACCCAGTGCTACTCATTAACTTGGCTGTCAATGCACGACATTTTAGCGCACTTCACTCGCTCTTGACACTTATACACCCATCCTGTTTGAATGGTCTAGGCCGTCCTCAGAAATGACAATAATCAGCAGTCTTGAAGTTCCTGCGTTCACCAAGTTCGTTGAGACTTCGCCACCCTTGAAATGCTCAAGCCCATTCTGAGGGAACAATGACTCCAGTCGCAACTACAATCGCTAGGTAGTCATAACAAAGACCGCGGGAACCCAGCCCTACTTGGTCCTAGTCTCTGTTTTGAACCGCGCATCTGGAATCACACAAAAATTAGTAGGTTCGTACGATTTTAACGAGCCATCCTCCTCTTTGTTAGAGACAATGAACAAAAACGAAAAACGAGTAACGGCTGGACGCGGGATTACCTCCTCATGGTCTGTCCGTGATAAGAAGCTCGGCAGCACATATGCCGAAGTTTAAGTCCACTGCAGATACTAAGGGAATGTCAAAACTGACTGGACCGACTCCCCCGAGTGTGAATAATGCTCAGATTCCACTAGGAAATTTAGTCAGTAGTGACTGGGCCTACTCCTCCCGAGTGAGACAGGTGTTCAAATCGCATTAAGGAATTTAGGTTTTTCTTACAACCAGAAACTTCTGCCCACCGCCCTCGACAAGTCCGCCATCCCCCCGGGAATGCCGACGCACAAAGCAAAGTAGGCCGAGACAGACATGCACGGCCCAATTAACTGTCACCAGTTCGCAGCGTCTAAACCCTGTGGGGGGAGGAGAGAACACACGAGGTTTGAACTTAGTTCCAATTAACCTAAATGCATAGTTATAAAGCCAAAGGGATTGTC